TCTAGATCAAATAATGTTACTGAGTTTTTATAAGAAAGCATTCAGTGAGGGTATGACGTCTAGTTCACGTTCGAATAAATAAATAAAAAATTGTTACACAAAAATTGTAAAATTGAAAATCTCGTTCTTTTTTTTCATAATCGTCTTTGTTCTAAATTCAAATACCTATAAAGTTTAAGATAACATGATTAGTTTTATTTTTATGAAATAAGGAAAAAAGTTGTATGAAAATATTACCAGCTTTAATCCTTGGTAGGGTTACCCAGTGGCATCTTTTTAATGTTTAGCAATAGCTTGAAACTTTCATTATTTAAGTTTTTCTGTTTAAAATATACATAACTCATAATATCTGTAATTAAGTAAGTTAAACTGTTAATTCTAACTAAAAACAAGATTTATATTTAGGAAGTACGTGGATTTTACAAAAGTGGGTCTTGGCATTGCTTTATTGCTGTGTCAGAGACTTTAATTATTACCCTTGTTATCAAACTGGCAATCTGAGAGGGAACGACGCCTACTTCCTTCAAGCAAGCTTACCGTATGTATTTCAATACGTAGTTTGTAAGAGTATATTGCTGGAGTGTACATAATATGTATATCGCATCGACGATGTGGTTTCACCTTTTGTGTACAACTCCTGTACCAGAATAAAAAAGAAATTAAACGTTATTGTTAAAATTTACCTTTTAGTAGTTTTTCGAAGTTTTTACTCTAGTTATCTACTGTATATAGTGAACCTAGACCGAACAACATACTTTGCATTACTTACATGCGTGTAGCATGTTCTTAAACTAAATCAATCACTTTCATCATCATGCCATCTTACATTCACGTCCATTTTCCCGGAGGGTTATACAAAGGTGTCTTCGCGGTATTAACGCCCATATTATATTATTAAATACACATACATATTAAATATTAAATCAAATTTATTCAATCACTTTCATCATCATGCTATCTTACATTCACGTCTTTTATCCCCGGAGTGTTATACAAAGGTGTCTTCGCGGTATCAACGCTCACACTATTTTATATTATTAAATACACATACATATTGAATATTTAATTTTGAAATACCGAGACCTTAGAGACAGGTACTCAATATGTCCTAAATTTCCTAATTTTAATTATGAAATTTATATCGTAATAAATTTGTCCAGCATTAATTAATAACTGCACACCAACCTTTTTAAACTTAATTATATTACCGCTTTGGAATAAAAACTATTTGGTTCTTCACGCTCTTCTTTATTTATTTACCTCATGACATTCCAAGAAAGCTAGCGTTAGTTCTTATCTCTTATTTTTACATATTCATTATAAGGTTGCAGCCAAACTCAAAATGAATTTTAATCTTGCACTGCGATGTTATAAAGAAACGAAATCGCATAATGTTTCTGACGTCCTGAATCGTTATCAGGACATCTTGCTTGAGATAGTTTGTTTTATTAATACCTTATACAAGGTTTATGAAGAGCGGGATTTTCATGACTTGAATATTAATTTTAGGGGTGCGTTTTGTGGGATAGTTTGAAGATAAGATGGGACACATTTAAATGGAGGTAATGTTTTGAATGAAGAACATAAAGGGATGGTTAATCGCAAGGATCTCATGATTGAATGCGCGTTCATTAGGCTTTGAATTTGAACAGATGAACATTAACATAACATATGAGAAATCAACTAAAATTTAATAAAGAACTTTAACTAAATTTTAAAAGAAATAGAGGAAAAGATTTGGTTTTAGGTATTTGTTGTCTAGGAAATAAACACCTAGAAATAAAAAAAAATGCCCCTTAATAATACGAGTATTGTGTAAGAAAGAGGAACCTGTTTCTCAAATAGACTAATAATAATAATATTTTTGATATTATTGTTGGTATGTCAATTTAACGTTTAGTTCATTCAAAGCATACAGTTAACTACAGTTTGTCTAAAGTAATGTAAATTATTATAATAGACTGTATGTTTATGTTCTTTGTATCTACACCATTAGTCGATAGTAATAAATTTAACTGACAGGACTGTCTCTTTCTTTTAGAGTGTTGTTAACATTTCCTGATTGTATTTTGTATCGCATGATTTTACTTAACCAATTTCTGAATTAACTGACAGACAAATTGATCACACGGAGAAGTTTCTTTGACTTCCCCCCGGACCGCGGTTGCGAGTTAACGTGTTCACATTACCAATTTTGAATAAAATAAATACATATTTAAATAATAAATTAGTAAATCAAATAGTGAAGTACCAGGCGCCCATAGCGTGGCAGCGGTTCGCAGAGTCAGTGTGCGAAGAAGACAGCAACAGGCGAAACGGACATACAAGTTAAGTCTCCCTTCATAATTGTCTGACATATTAACTGTCACCTGCCATATATTACCTAGCAAAGTCACTTGTCAAGGGACACCTGTCAACGTCAGATGTCAAGTGTCACCCGTCAACGTCAATTGTGAAGGTCTATCTGTCAACGTCACCTGCCAAAGTCGCTGTCAACGTCAACCGCCATTCGAGCTTCCGGCTAGGGTTGCCATGACCCAAACGAAAACCCTCATTTCTACTCACGTCGACCCCGTCACACCGACACTGGGACAACAGGTACGCATCACTACATATTCCCCAGTGTAAAGATACGAGCCTAAGTTGCTGCAAAATAGAGAGGTCAAGTTTCGCTGGCCGCCAGTGAATTTGTTCTGAATCGTCGATCGGTGACGTTGTATAGTTGATTGCTGCTTGTTTTGACTTGTTGATAGCCTGATATCTGCTATAAATTTCTGATAAAACGATAGCCTAACGTAAGTCATGTCACTACGCCGTACTCCACCCACCTCATCTGCTGTGCCTGCGCCTCAACAGGCGTTTGATTCTGATACTACTTCAGAACGAGGAGGCAATGTTAACACACGGCAAAAGCGTAGACGCGGAAGCGACGATGACCACCGGCAAATCAGGAATGAAATGTCAATGATATCAAACAAACTTGATCAATACTTTTCGGAATTGAAACAACAGAATACCGAGCTAAGAGACAGCCTACAGTTTATGTCTGACAAATACGATTCACTCACTAAACTGCTTAGTAAAGTGGAAAAAGAAAGGACGGAGGACAGAAAGCTGATTTCAAAGCTGGAAGAAAGACTGGAGTCCATGGAACGGAAATCCAGATCAACAGGAATAGAAATACGTAACATGCCGATTTACCTGCATGGAAGCAAGGAAAGAGAGAAAAAGGAAGATATCTGTGGTTTGATGCATTGCTTGGCGAAAAATGTCGATGTGAGTCTCAATGATTGTGATATAAGAGATGCGTACAGAGTAACTACTAGCAAAGAAATTGTAAAACCAATCATAGTCGAATTAAACAGTGTCATGAAAAAGAATAAAATAATGGAAGCAGTAAAACAGTTTAACAAAAACAAGCCTGTTGGAGGCAAGTTAAACACTGATCACTTCGGGATTCCAGGACAGAAAAAACCTGTTTTCATTTCTGAGGCTTTGACAGTCAAGGCACAGAAGTTGCACTACATGGCACGACAATTCATGAGGGAATATAATTATTCATTTTGTTGGACCTCGAAGGGTATAGTGTACCTACGTAAAGCTGAGGGAGAACTAGCTATCCGCATTGAAACTGAGGAAGATCTGCTTAAAGTAAGGTCAAGGCAGTGACTATCTTTAGTATGTTTATTCTTTGGTGTTTTTATGTTTTTATTTTATTTACTTGTCAAAGTTTATAGTCTATTTACCAGTTATTTTGTTAACAATTTACTAGTCCATATTGTTATATTACTAAAATTTCACTTAGTAAACCTAACTATCACACACCAAAACTTGTTCTGCAGACACAGATTTACACCTTCTTATTACTTTTTTGACATACATGTCCTGCAACTATCTACAAGCTACAATTATAGGATTAACAACACACATTATAAAAACACAAAATCTGCACCCAGATCCACACTGCGTACACTGCGATACTCTCTAAATTATTGTGTCCTAATAATGAATATGTATCGTATAATTCAAACTTCGATTCTATACTAGACAATCACACAAATAGCATAGATGAGATTGAAGTTGCCGATTCTTTCAGATGCGAGCCTGAGAACTGCAGGAATATTATTGCGCATGAAGGTCTAAAAATACTTACTCAAAATATCCGGAGTATATCTGCAAATATTCATAGCTTCACAACACTTTTGGTGAGAATGTCCATATCCTTAGATATCATCATACTCACAGAGTGCTGGCTGTCGTGCAACCCACACATACCCGCAATAGATGGTTACAACTTATATTCAACTACTAAATGGACCAATAAAAATGACGGAGTCGTAGTTTACATCAGGAGTGATCTTGCTAATGTAATAGTCACAGAACCTCCATTTGCAGGCGCTAGTTGTTTACAAATATTAATAGGAAAAGATTTTTGTATTCTTGCACTCTACAGGCCTCCATCATTCAGGGATTTAACCGGCTTTCTCTCTTCTTTAGATCAACTACTGACAATAAACTCTTATTTCACTAACTTAGCAGTCATGGGCGACATTAATTTGGATATTGTGAATGGTAACATAGATAATAAGACATTAGAATACTTAAATCTTAATGCTGCTCATGGGTTATTACCAGCCCATAATCTGGTTACACATGGAAAAACCTCACTCGATCATATCCTCCTTAAAACTAAACTCAGAGCCTCAACCGTCGTTATAGACTCAAACGTTACGGACCACAACGCTGTTTTATTAACTTTAAATAAAATAAAAATTAATAGTGCAAATAAGATAATTAATAAAATAAATTACATTAAACTAGAAAATCAACTAAATACTACTGATTTTTCCTACATATACGAGTGTACGGATGCTAATATTGCACTTGAATATTTTAATAAATCACTCACTAGAGCTATACAATACAGCACCATAACCTACAGTGTACCACATCGCCTGAGGGCTATAAAGCCATGGATTACGCCAGGTATGCTGAGGTGCATGCGTAATAGGGACAGGATGTACATAAAAATGAAAAAATCACCGGACAATGATACGGTCTGCATTACTTATAAACGGTATAGAAAATTTTGCAGCCGTATTTTAAAAAACCTTAAAAGGCAGTACGAGGAAGCTGAGTTGAAAAAAGCTGGATCTGATCCAAAGAGGATGTGGAATGTAATCAGAAATGTAACCCACACACAAAAGAGATATGTATCCGCTAGTCCACTACTTTTGATAAAAGATTCTGGTGAAGAATCTATTGAGGAAGTTAATAATTTTTTTGTGAAAACCGGGAAACACATAGCTGAGGAGGTGGCGAAAATGATTGACGGTGGTACAAATACGATTAATAAGACACCTCTGAATGCTACTTGTGGGTCATTGGTTTTGTTGGAAACTGACGAGTCAGAAGTGGACCGATTGATTCAAACACTGCGTGGTGATTGTGCGATAGGCGTAGACGGTATTCCATCTAATGTAATTAAACAGTACAGGAGATTCTTTGTGCGGCCATTGACGTTTATACTTAATTTGTGTATAAAAACAGGTGTATTTCCCGACCTATTTAAAAAAGCTCTGATTCATCCTATACATAAGGCGGGGGATGCAGATCAGGTAAATAATTATAGGCCAATCTCAGTTTTGCCTTGCTTGTCTAAAGTTCTGGAAAAAATTATGAACAATCGCCTAAAGAAATACTTGGAAGATAATAACATACTTTCGAATAACCAATATGCCTTTAGAAACAACAGGTCTACAAATGACGCAGTGTTTGAACTAACAAACCATATTGTGCAGGCTTTGGATAAAGGTAGGAAAAGTGTTGCAATCTTTTTGGATTTAGCCAAGGCCTTCGACACAGTCTCCATCCCCAAACTGATTGATAAATTGGAGCGTGTTGGTGTAAGAGATCGACAATTAAAACTTTTTGAAAGTTATTTGACTAATAGGACACAGTGTGTAAAGATTAATGAGTACATCAGCAAGGAGCTTCCTATAGAATTCGGTGTGCCACAGGGAAGTATACTTGGGCCCACGCTTTTCCTAGTTTACGTGAATGAAATGTGCAAACTGAAAATTACCGATGGCAAATTATTAGCTTTTGCAGATGACACCGTACTTATTTTTACAGGTGAGACGTGGGACCAAGTCTTCGGGATGGCACAATTAGGATTCAATATAGTAACTGAGTGGTTGGCAAGTAACACATTATCTCTCAATGTTGACAAGACTAGAGTCATGCAATTTAGCATCAAAGGATCGAAAATAGCAGGAGTTGATCGATTTATTACTGCTCATAAACACATACATGGCAGCAACTTTGCATGTACTTGTCCCAACTTACATACCGTCACTAGCATAAAGTACTTGGGTGTAATCATAGATGATAAACTGTGTTTCGCACCACATATTGACCTACTTACGGGAAAAATTCGGAAGCTTATATATATATTTAAACACTTGAGACATGTCGCAAGGCCAACAGTTCTAAAAAGCATATACTTCGCTTTGTGTCAATCCCTGTTAGGGTACTGTATTCTATCTTGGGGTGGGGCTTGTAAGTCAAATTTAATAAAGCTTGAGCGGGCACAGAGAGCTGTACTAAAAGTAAGTACTTTTAAACCGTATCGCTTTCCCACAAAAGATCTGTATGAATACTGCGAAGTTCTGACAGTACGGCAGTTGTTCATTCTGCAAATCATATTGAAGCAGCATTCAATGCGCAAAACAGACGCGACATCATCATCGGTTTTGCGACGCAATTTGCGTACGGTAAAGCTTCCGCCAGCTGATAGCCATAGGACCTCATTCAGCGAACGCTTTTACTACTTCCTAGGGCGTTTTATATATACCAAAATCAATAAAGTCATTGATATAGATTCAGGCAGTGAGTATCAGTGTAAGAAGAAAGTAACAAACTGGCTCCAAAAGCTCTCTTATAACGACACTGAAAACCTTATACATCCAGTAACATAAGCAACACACACACACACACACACGCACACACACACACACACACACACACACACACACACACACACACACACACACACACACACACACACACAGAGAGAGAGAGAGAGAGAGGCACACAAATACACATTCAACATGAACTCAGTGCACGTACATATATGTAGATACCCCACACATTCCGTATACAACGGGTTTACTACATAGTTATCCTAATTATCCTTATCCATACTTAATATTTAAGTTCGCAAATATTTAGCTTATGTAAGTAGGTCTAGGTTTCTTATTGTAACCAGAACTGTCTTATTTATTTTAGCTGTGAAACTGGAAGGTAGCTGGTACTTATAGCACAGGATATCCTATTTTAAGTACCAGCAGAACACTAGAATTAAGATTTTTTGTACCTCTTTTGAGAATTCTACTACTATGTACCTACTTGTATATTGTGCCAATAAAGAAATTTATTATTATTATTATTATTAGCTATAAGAAGAAGTAATCTTCAGGTAGACTGTAAATTATATTAAAGAATGTATTAACTTAACTTCATCTGGTTGATATTTGTCTCTTTGAGATCATCTGGTTGATATTTTCTAGAACTTACATCATGAATCTACTAGAGCGGTCCCCTTTAAAATCATTTGTAAAGTCTTAATCTAATTATTAACGAATAAAGGTACCACACGACTACTAAAGTTAATTGTTATGTATTTGTATTATATACTCGTAATAACGGAAATGTTAACATTACCATTATTATACCAAGATTTTATACAGGTTACAAAGAAAGTACCTTTAACATACTCACGATCGATATCTAAGTAGTTGGTCACCCACGAGGTCGTTTTGTCTATAATTAATTTACTAACGTCCTACAATCACGTCATTACTAAATCATTTAGAGCTGTATAATACAGCTTTAAAAATAATAAATTTATTCTAGTTTCTATCCATCATTGGGCAAGTAGGCCAGTAAGTGGTAATACCACAAATTATGGTAATACCGTTTCAGACCACAAATAGCAGTTATGTGGGTTTAAGCGCGTGAAAGAGGAATTTGAATACTTAGACAATTGTTGAAGATCAGCGCTGCATTATTTATGTTTTATGGTACTCTATTTTATTTATCACTCAATTTTTGTGTAAACTACTTCTTGTTGTTACATATAATTACTTTTGCCTTTTAAATTATCATTAATAGCCTTAAATAGTGTCAGAAGGCCCGTTTCGTCTGTTACAGGAGCACGTAGTACATGTATACCACAGAGCTGACCATCTTAAAATATTCTCCTGAATCTAAGCAATTTAAGTGGCAATGTTCTGTCAAGGAATATCTTGTCAAAGCGCATCCTGATCCTTGTTTGTTTGGAGTCCTGTCCTGTCCTGATTGTATTTCTATCTATTGTAGTACACTCTATGTATGTACGTTTATGTGAATACGAGTGCTAACAGTTAGCTAAAGTGTTATTGTGCAAAGCAAGATCAATAATTAAGTTGTTCCGCTAAAAATAATTAATTTAAAATTAAAAGTATAATATTCATAAAATCGAATAAAAATTTAATCCTGAAATATTAATATTCATTGAATTGCTACGTACACATTTCGTTCAAACAAAACATTTATTACACGTGAAAAGTTTGATACTTCAAATAATCTAAATCAATATCTCGACTCCAAAACAAATACGCCTTCAAAACAGAAACTTGCAGATAAATTGTTTGCGGAACATTCGAAATCATTCGTTGAGTGTTTCGATTAAATCGTCTTGATATCATAAAATACAGTGCCGAAAATCATATTCGCTGACTGAATATTAATTTTATGTTATCTTGTCTCATCCCCCACCGTTTCTCAAACTATATAATTTTCATACTTCTCTTTATAAAAAGGTATTTTTTTATATTTGACCGCACGAATACCAGATGTTGTCAATTATTTTGGATTGGCCTAAACAAGGTTTGGATAACTCTGGTATCAATAAAAGCTTGGCTATGGCCATAAATGCTCGTAGAATTGCGAGGAACACCTACTTTCTAATCCAGGTATTACATTTTACTCTGACACTTGCCACCTTTTTATTAGGTCATTCTTATAGTTCCAAGTTACGCTTTCTTTAAAGTGAGCAAGATTCTTTACGTAGAAAGGTAGGTTTACCACGTAACATTCTTCAGTTTTTATTTCAAAGTATTATAATAGTAAGTAGAGATTTTTATGAATTAAATTTATTTTTCAATTTTATGGAAGAAATATTCTCAACATATACAGAAACCATTGTTAGAAACCATTTGTATGTACTTATAGAAGAAGCATATACGCAACTCGGGCTTTCATTATTAACTATTGCCAAATGTATCCAACATTCTTAGAGAATGTACTTAATAGAAAAAAAAACTCAAACAGTTTTTTTTATTTAAAAAAAAAAAAAAAACAGTTGGCCAAATTTGAAAAGCGCTGCTTTAGTGGGTTCGATTCCCGGACCGGGCAAAATTTTATAGCCTAAGTTACTCTTTATATAGAAAGCTACCTGGTAAAATAGTATCAAAATCGGTCCAGCCGTTTTGATGATTACCAGGAACAAACAGACAGACAGGCAGAGAGACAGACAAAAATATTTAAACTGGTTTTTTAGATATCTTATTGGTTGGTTTAGATATCTCGCAAATAACATGAAAGCATGAAATTAACCTATTATTTTGATATTACAAACAGACACTTCAATTTTATTTATTTGCATAGATGGAAATATAAAACTTTTAACTACTAAAATTTTCAATAGAAGTGGGTTGACTAAAATCTCAAAACAAATGATATCAAACAACAAAATTAAAATCCATTTAACTGAAATAATTTATATTCACCCTTCTACCACCCGTATATGTATCGTGATAACTATACCATGAAGTTGATACCGTCGGAATCACACTCAATATTGTACTAAAACAAAAGTCACTAGGAATACGCACATACATCAAGGGATCCCGGTAGGAGGCAAATAGCCCGTACTGCTAAATCGCCCGGCGTAACGCGCAATATCAATGCCTGCAGCATCAATGGTGGAACGCTCGAATGCGCGCACGCGTTGTTCAGCCTTGCGTGCAGTTGCCAAAGATTTGAGAAAGGTACAAAAGAATGGCAAATGCATAAGATATCCTAGTATTTAAAGGTCTAGTTAAACTTTGATATATCACGAATTCGGTGGTGGTATTTGAAAGGCGAGTTGCTTTAAATTTGCATACTATGGAAACTGTAATATTACAATAAAATAAAAGATTTACGTTTTGTTTATTCCATTTCCAATTACTTATTCCAGACAAAATGTAAGAAATATTTCTTGGACATACATAATTATGTATTACGTAATTAAATTACTTGGACTTTACGCATATCTACCACCTTGGCTAATTTACTGCCAAAGTTATCTTATATATATTATATAATAATATAAAAATAACCGCACACATCTCACACACAGCTGTCTGATCCCAAACTAGGCAAGAGCCCGTGCTATGGTAACCAGACTGATGATAAACATACTTATATATTTATAAATACATACATATTATAGACACTAACCACTAGAGACACTCCCGTCTATATCACATTATATCTTCTTACTTTAGAAAACGATAAAGACGGACTAAATGTTCATAAAAAAATAAAAACTAAATATAATATTGTTATTGTTTTCAAACATTCATTAAGTATGCTTTAGTTTAGCAATACCAACTATCTGTGATTAGCTTTCTTTAATCTTTGTCGTCCCGTAATATCGTAAATTTTTCAATTCACCACTATTTAATGAGCTGGCCCCTGCTTTTGTAAATATTATGTTTGGTTCAATGAAGGCCAGACAAAGGAAGTCAAAGTACAGTACCTTTTATTTTGAGCTTGATAGATACGACTGTATGGTCTATATACTCCAACATTTATTTCTGGTAATTTAACGGTAATAAAAAATTGAGTCAATTCAAATTAAGTTATGAAAATATGTTTCTAAACCCGTGGTTTGATAATTGATTAAAGTTCAATGTGCTGAAAATTAAACCATGAAAACTCTTAAACAATGCATAGTTAGAAAATTACTTTAGTTTTTTACAGGGAAAGAGATTCCGTTTGGCTTTCTTTTATTTCCCGTCTCTTTGTTTAGATTTCCGTCACGGGACTAAGAAAAATAGCGAGTCAAACAAAAAGTTTTACCATCGCCAAAGGGCCATTCAAGCGTAAACCTTCAAAAACAGATAACGGCAGTCTCAAAATATCCGGTGTCTGTGAGCCGAGATGCGTAGATATGGTTCAATCGGCACTGGTCGGCAACGATTCACTTATAAAAACAATCAATGCTATTGGATTATCCATATCATATATGTTTCTATGTGCGAGTAATTCACGAATTCAAAGATATAATAAAACTATCAAAAATAATTTAAAGTAAGTGTATCAGTAATACACAGTACATTTTTTATTTTACTGCTATTTTAACTGTTTCTTTTTTTAAACAAAATTTCTAATAACTGTTCTATTAGATCCACATTTTATCTCACTGTGCTGATGTTGTTATGAATGTTATGTATACCGTAACTATTTTATATATCAGAACACTTACCAACGACTGAATGTTACTTGAATTATGTAATAAATACAACGTGGTTGTACTTATTATAAAAAAACAATAAAAAATTATCAAAATTGATATCGCTTTGTATCTCGCTGGAGGAGATGTATTGTAGACATAGAGCAGTTCCTTAACAAGCTGGTTTTTTGTTCCGCTTAATAACCGCAAGCTTTGTTTTGTTTCACTTGACCTAGTTAACTGGGTCTTTCAACAAAGATGTAGGTACTTTTATTTTTGCAGTGAAGTTATCCCAAAATAAAACCAGTTCTAGTTGGTGAAAATCGATATAAGCTATATTTGTGGTTTTGTCTCATTGTTAAAATTATTAGTTGTATATTTTTAAACTATTTCAGAACCACGAACTGTTGTGTGGAATTTAAAAAAAGTAAATGA